GCAGCCAACTTAAAAAAAAAAAGATGTGAAGGAGCCAGGTTGCCTCTGTCAAGGGGTTGCTGTCTGCAGGATACCTCGGCGAACGAAGGGGTGCAACCCTGAGCAGCCGCTAAAATGCCCTGGTCCCCGGTGGGATGGGGCTCGTAGTCCTCGCTAGGCTTTTTCTTGCCTCTCTGGGCTCGGGTTTCCGTGACAGCAGCAGCCTGGTCTTGTGCCGGTGCTCTCTCCCCGGTGGGACTGCGGAGAAAGTCGGTTTCGCACCGCAGGCAGTAGGCCTTTCTTGCCATTGCAGTTACTGTTCCTCGTTGCCGAGATCCATCGGATGCTTCAGTTAAAACAGCAATTTAGAAAATTCAGTTTAGGAAGTGTTTTCTGCTTTGTTTCTTTCAAGCCATGTTGTGAATTGATGTCTCTATATTTCTATTTTTTTAAGCTAAAATTTTACTGTTGTCCCATCTCGTTGTTCAGGAATACCGAAAAAATGACTCATTTTCACTAAAATGGATTGATTGAATTACTACTGTCAAAGCTGTTATGCTAGCTATGATGATTTTTATTAATCAACCTTGTATTTTTTCTAGTCATGAGTTAGTTTTGCTAAAAGGCAAAAGTAATTTACTCTGCTGACATGGTTGGGTGATTGAGGGCTCCTGGAAGCTGGAAAAGCTCCAGGGAGATTCTTGTTGCCGTCCAGAACGGCTCTTGCTTTAACCACCAGACTGACACGGCACTCTGGGATCAGCCTGTGGTCTTGGAAGGCTTCTCACAAAGTTGTTTACCTCGGAAAATAATTTCGCCCGGCACATGATGGTTTTGTTTCTCTTAGTTTTCCTGCTCAATGTAGGAGATAAAGACAGGAAAAAGTGTGGTGGTTTTTTTTTTTTTTTTTTGGTTGGGCTTGGTTGGTTTTTTTGGTCAGTAGAAAAAATAGCTAGGCTTAAGGGTGAGAAGGATTTCAGTCTTTACTCTGAAACTATCTTTTCAAGTTCACAGTCAGTCTTCTGGGAGGAAAAAAAACTCCATCCCAACGTGATTATGGTCTGCCACGCTAGACTGTTAGCTGCATACAGAAATAGATTCAAACAGTACTAACAGAGTCAAGAGCAGCAATGTGACTGTTTCACTGCAGTCTTATCGTAAGTGAAACTTGTTATTTGAATGCCTGTAATTCTTTGGGACTTCCAGTCCCACTTGGGCTTTGAAGACAAACATGAAATCATACCCTCCTAGCACAAGTATGGTCCTTCTCTCCTCTCCCCCCTGTATCTGCTTCATACCTAGTCTGAATTGCCTACTCTCTGCAATAGCAGAGGGTTTTTTAGTCGCAGATATTATTGTTTGTAGTTCAGACTCTGTGTGCAGAAGTCTATCTAATAACTCCTCCTTTGGAGTTAGCTGTGTTAAAAAAAAATAATTAAAAAAAAATAAAATCCTGACCTTCCTATCTGGAAGGTCCTCCACAATTACTGTAATCGTGGAGGACTGGACCCATCGCTGCCGTCGCTTGGTGGCTCATTGCACGTGTGGGTCCCTCAGCGAGGGGAGAAATTTGAGGAGAGGAGAGGGAAAAGCCACCATAGTGCAGACAAATCTCTTGCAGCTCCATGAGAGAGAAGAAGGGAGGAGCACAGTCTGGCTCCAGGGTTATTGGGGAATTGCTGTAAAAGAAAAAACATTCGAGATCTAAAGGCCTTTCTTTTTGTTAGGTGCCTTTGTCGCTGTAAGAAATAGGGAGACCTGTTGAATGGTGTAATCGGAGGGGGGGAAAGGGACCCATCTGCAGCCTGGCAGGGCTCGAATCTGAGTGCTCAGGGTAACAATCCTCTTCTCAGAATAAAAATCCTCTCTCAGAAAGTGCAAAGTTACTTTTCTCTCCTTTCTTTCCCTGTTTTTCCTGGCCAGTGCCTTCAGTTCCGTATTGAATCAAGTCTTGAAACCTCGATTCGTCACCGTGTGTTTTGCTAGTTTAATGTAGCTTTTAAATAGAATAAGCATGTAACACCTGTTTATGCCTTCAAAGTAGGGGAGAAGCACGATCAAGATGAACTGCATCCTGTTAACCGCCTGCGTCCTTCTGGTTGCTTTTTGTAGTTCTGGTGAGTATAAGGGAGGTACTTTCCTGATGGGATGTTAGGACACGGGGTGAGGAAATCGTGGAAAAAATGTTGGAGAAGGAAAATTAACAAGAAAGACCTGGATTATTTAATACCGCTTTGGGGAATGACCGTAACCATCGAAGCAGGGTTTAGTTTCTGTTGCTGATTGTCTTTGGTCAGAAGAGAGAATCGGGTGCGGAATATGGTGCTGCTTAATACAGCAACAGGCTGTTGTGTTTTGGTGCTAGAAGATTGGATTCCTGTTGTGTAAACCGGGAGCTAGGCATGTAGCGCGAGAGAGAAATGAGAGGAAATAAAAAAGGGGTAGAATAAAATTCTGCTGAAAGCGTTTCTTGTTGCCTATCCTTTTGGGAAAGGCAGTCTTTAAAAGTAGATAAAAGCAGCAAACATTTAATACCTTGTTCTGCAGGCACCTAAGGGTAAGTGGCTTTAAAAATGACGTGAGTTCGTGCTTCAGAATCTTCCCTTCAAACTTGCCAGTCTCAGTTTGTACACCGACAAAAGCCTGTCAATTTTAGCTTAAGTCTTCAGTTCAATAACTAGGCATGTTTTGTGATAGTTAGATGAAGACAGTGATTCTTCTTTTTTTCCTTTTTAATGCTGCTGCTGTTTCAGTACTTTATTATTCAGTAAAGATAAACCCTTGTCTTCTTAGCTTATACCCTAAGGTGTTACCACTGCGAGAACAGCCCTTCCTTGTGCAAGACCAATAATACTTGCTTAGCGACCGAAGATACTTGCTTGCAGATGAAATTTGGTATGTATACTGTCCTACAGACCTCAAATAAACATGGTCGTATCCGTTTTCGTTGCCTGTACGCTTTTAATCTGCCCTTAGCATGCATTTCTTAGCCTCACTCAAAAGAAGGTTGTGAATACTTTTGAAGGTCGCGCTTATGTTCAAGCAACTGATAATGATGATTTAGATAGCTGATTTATACTTGTACAAGCATATACACAGATATCTCTATAGCCAGATTTAAAAAACAAACAAAAAACTCACCACCCAAGGGAGCTGGAAAAAAAATAAGAGACAGCGTTGACTTTAGAATATGAAACCTTTGCCCTTAATTTGTTACACTTTAAAAACAGATAAAAGCGTGTGTAACCCACAAAATAAACCTGCAGGTGAAGACTCAGTCGTTTATGAATTGACGCTATTAAAAAAAAAAAGATCTTTTCCTGAGGGTGAAGTGACCTGCATCTCAGGAAGATGGTCAAGGATATTCAGGGCATACAGCTACTGTTCTAGTTGTTAAATAATATTTAAGTAACTCTTTTACTACCAGTGACAGGAGTTGCATTGGTAAAACAGAAGTATCGAGTCAATTGAAATAATCTCCTGCTTTCCCAGCTGGTTCCCCCTGCTCTAGGAAGCCGCGTGGGCTGGCTTTGGACAGGGTGGGCTGGGACTGCTCTGTTCCCAGGATGGTCCCTGCTAAAGCTCGTGTCTTGGCCCGGAGGAAGGAAGCTGCTAACGCTGCTGGACCAGGATGCCGCTCTGTGCTGCTTGCATCCTAAGGAATTTTCTCTTTTGCTATTTCCCTTCAGCCTAAACCTTCATGAGCACAAGCTGTGGGCTTTCTAGCATGCAGCCTGCGGCGGTTGTCCGTTGTCAGAGTCAGGGGTCAAGTACTCGAGGTGTCAAGCTAGGGAAGATGGAAGACGAGGTGTTTGATCTCTGGTGTCCAGGGGAATGAGGGAGAAAAGGGGAGGACTCGTCTGCGTATTTCTTCTGGAAGTGAGGCCGGTTGGATCCAACGGGACTTGGCTTCATCACAAAAACTGGCTTGAGTTACTGGACTTGCACTGAGCTTTGTGGAGGGAGAACGGCCGTGCCGTAGGACAAGGCAAGAGAAATGCCAGTGGAGGTAGATGGTGACACACCGTCCTTCTCTGTCGGGAGCCCCAGAGCAGGTATCGCTCCGGCTCCACCCTGTGCCTCCCAGTGGGTCCTTTGGACTGAATTGGAAGCTTGAGCTAGAAATCTTTCTTAACCTGTGGCTACGAGCTACAAGAGAAGGCTGTGGAGGCAGGACGGTGGCTTGCTATTGCTGTCCGCACTGCGAAATTCCTAGTGAAGGCAAATTTTGAAACTTCTAAACACTTGAAAAGAAGCTAAAAAAGCAAGTACCTGGCAGTCTAGGCAGTCATCCTCTCTCTGTACCAAAAATGGTATTACTTTCAATATTCTCTTAATCTGTTAAATTTTCTTTCTTGTAGGTAAATTGAGAACTTTCTCCTGCTGGAAGGCATCCCAGTGCAGTATGAATGAAATTGCTGAATTCTTCCAGTTGGATAATTTTGAATTCTTTTGCTGCCAACACGACTTGTGCAATAAGAGCGCATTTACTGGGGTTCACAATGCAGCCTTCACTATTGCCTCTGTAGTGACCATGCTATGGATAGTTCTGTAATAATCCTGATTAGTGTGCTGTACTTCCAAGCTGAAATTATACAAAAGCATTAACTCTTTTCTGAACTGTATTTCTCATTTTCAGTTCCTAACCATCAGCAGAAACATTACCTTTTAATTGTAAATTCTGTTTCCTAAGGTTCCATCTGTTAAATCACTGACTCCATTCATGGGAAGGAGAATTATATTGTTACCGGTTATAAAGAATTTGGGTATTTTGGTCTGCCCTTTTCATGTGGAGAATAACTTGTTATGAAGTTGTGTTATCTTGTGGAGAACCTGGGCAAACTTCAGTGAGTGATGTGAAAGGGAAGGAGTATTATAGGTTTTATGATGGAAAACTATCACTTCTTGCCATCCCATAAATTGTAATTATTTTTGGTTGGGATTTCTGTGGGGTTTTAGTTTTGGGGTTGTTTGTTGGGTTTTTTTTTAAAAGGGGGGGGGGGAGGGGATGTTTCCTTGTCATACACCAGGCAGTGGATTTGCCCTCCACACGAGAAGTGTTGGATCATTAGTATAAACTTGCTGCAGTTTTCATGATGAGTATGGAAATATTTCGTTTCAAGTGATCTAGACTCTTTGTTCCCATCACTGTAACTTTTTTCTTTTTACAAGCAAATAAGTAGCATTATTTTGGGAGAAAGCATCTACATTTTTCAAACCAAAACCAAAATAATGCTGTAAGTGAGAAACACTTTTTCCTCTTTTTATATTTCTGTGAGCATGCAGACATGATGTGCTAGCCTTTTTTTTTTTCCCCCCCTTATACTTTACCCATGTCTACAATTTTAACTAAGTATGTGCTTTCTGCTGAGTATTTATTGGCGCACTGAAAATTGTTTATAAAATGCTAAGGACTTGAACTGGTACATGTAACTTATTTTCCCACATAGTTAGCTTTTGGTTTTTTGTTGTAACATGTAAACTTAACCCTTCAAGCTTCCACCTAACAGTATTAAAGAAAACCTTGCAGAACTTTATATTTAGACTTTTATGCAACTCTATCAATGCCAATACAAAATATAAGTGTATTTATATTGCATAAATAAAAACCGCTTGGTTTGTATGTGCAAGAGGTCTGGTGCTGAAATACACTGTATCTTGCTCTGCTTCAGCGTTGGAGACAGACCTTTGGTACTTCTCCAGGACTTAGGGAGCCTCTCAGTCAGGTACAATGTCACATTCTCCTTTTCCTCTTCTGGAGCTCTTGACATGCCCCTGCAAGAGTCGTGGTCCATTGCCAATGGCATATTCTCTTTCTGAGGACCCTTGCTTGTGCTATGCAGGGTGCCGGTGACACCAGTTCACCCAGTTGTAACAAGGATGTTCCTTCAAATCCATGATGTAATCTGCAATGTATCTTTTGGTTATGCTTATCCTAGCTATAAAAGTATCCTGGGATCTCTCTCATCGCTCGAAATATGGAAGTCTATCTGTCTTTGATTAATAAAAAATGTTGAAAAAGAAAATGTGGAGAGTGTGGTTATTTATCAGCATGCTATTTACAGCTGGATGTAACTAGGTATTTCCATGTGAGATGCATCCACACTTCCCAGCCAGAGGCTCAACAAGTTGCAGGTAGACTTCTCTCATTTCTTCTCTGGAGATGAGTGCTACGTGTAATCAGGTGAGTTTTGGGAGAGCGGTTATTTGCTTTAGGAAGCTGTTTGATAGGACAAGGGGTAATGGTTTCAAGCTAGAAGAAGGTAGATGCAGACTAGATAGAAGGAAGAAATGTTTTACGGTGAGGGTAGTGAAACACTGGCACAGGTTACCCAGAGAGGTGGTAGATGCCCCATCCCTGGAAGTGTTCAAGGTCAGGTTGAACGGGGCTTTGAGCAACCTGATGGAGTTGAAGATGTCCCTGCTCATTGCAGGGGGGTTATACCTAGATGACCTCTAAAGGTCCCTTCCAGCCCAAACCATTCTCTGCTTGGAAATGAGCAGAGTTAGCGATCTTTCTCTAGGTGACATGGCACACAGGGGAAGCAGTAGAATATGTGGTCTCAATCTCTCCTACTTGAGAATTGTCTTGGAGATAGGAACATGCCATGATTTGGGGGGAAACAAAGAGTTCTCCCTGCATGACTGCTTTAACAGCTGAAGCACGGCACGTAACGTGCTTGCTGTGATTGCTCTCGGAGCAATCCTGTCTGCAGTGTTTTACTGCGGCATGTTCTTACTCTCCTATGTACTGACTAGATTTTTTTTGTGGAAGTATTGGTTGTTTCTTCTCCTCCCCATTTCCCTTCCCCCGTCCTTAGTTCTTAGCTTTAGCTAACTTCTTCTATCTGTTTCAGGAGGGAAATTGGTTACACGTGATACTCCTCAAGTTGTAAATTATCTTAATAGAAACTGTTGGCTTGAAGTGTGTGGTCAAGTTGAATAGAAAGCATTTTCGTTTGTATTTGTGAAGCCAGACAAATGGAAAACAGGATTTTCCTCTTCTCTCACAGGCTAATTGTACTTTGAATCTTTTGCTGTGCATTCTCAATCCAACAGGTGCTAGAAATGGTGATTTGATGTTGTGCTAGAAAGAAGAAAAGTCCTTGATGTCCCGCTCTTGTCCTTCCATTTTTTTATTTCCCATCTGATTAACAAAAGCAGACACTTAAAAGACAGTAATTTCTGCACAGTGACTTTTTCCACTGATGCACCACCGTTTGTCAAGCTCTTGCTCATTTTAGATGAAAAAGCCTCAATATACAGTTGGGGGAAGGTTTGTAGCAGAGAAGGTATCTTGTGTTAGAAAAGCTGATAGCTTCCTTGGGCTAAAACCATCTTGGTTGCAGCATTTTTGCTCGACTTTATTGTCAATGTCTCTCTTTTGATGGTTGGCACTTTTAAACCTGTTTATTGTTGTATGATCTGCATATGTAAAGTGTTTTCTTAATAAGCACAAAAAGAAGCTCTGTATTTTGTCTGTCTGGTAATAGTTCAAGCAATCATTTTTAATATTTGTTTTTTCATAGCCTTGAACGCTTTCTTGTCTAATCTATCATATTTCTCCTTCCTCTCTCTTCTAGAGGCTGCTTGAGCAACGAGTCCTTGTGTTTTGCACTCTAGAAGGCCACTTCTTTTGTAAAGATCAACAGGAACGTTGTTTAATTCTTGTGGTGAGAATGCATGTGGCAAAATAAGAGAATTTGCTATCATAGCAAACAACTTTTTTTAAAAAATGACTAGATTTCAAGTAGAAAGCATCCCTTTTGTCCATCTCCTGGGAAAGGTAGTTATGTAGGCTGATTCTCATCTCATGCCATTTACAAGCTAAATGGTGATGCGAGGTTTCATGTTTTGGTATAATTTGCCCGCGTGGTTTGAAGTGGTGAGCTGTCTCCTGCAGAAAGAGTTGTTGAACAGTGCCTGCTGCCTAAATATTGGCATTTCTCCCACTGCTGCTGTATTATGTCCAGATTTGATGGCCAGCCCTCAAAACTGGGTAACCAGAGTCATCAAGACTTTAGATCAAATACAACTCCATTTAGTGGTGGTAAGACAATACAGTACAGGGTGCCAGTGATCAATTCTGCGTACGAGTATTGCATCAGTGCAAAGAATTGGTTTTGCTTTAGGTTTGCGTGCACTTTAAAGTCAGCTCCATCTTTGCTCTGAGCTACAGAGCAAACAACCCTCGTTAGGGTGTTACAAAATTTTCTGTAGCGGTAATTGGTCATTTGTGTGTATAACCTTGGGGCAGTCTTGTGACTGTTCACTTTTACACCCATCCCTATTCTTAAGTCAATGATTTTTCACTCTGTGTAATGGTAGGGTTAATGCGTATGATAATTTCTTGACTCATATATATTTAATTATGGCACTGTGATTGGATGGACTGGAAACTAGTTCTTTTCCAGTTGTAACAACTAATTACAAGGAACTGAAGGACTGGTGGGAAGTCACAGAATCACAGAAAGGCTGAGGCTGGACGGGACCTCTGGAGGTACGTGGTCCAGCCCCCCTGCTCAAGCAGGGCCCTCGAAAGCCAATTGTCCAGGACCGTGTCCAGATGGCTTTTGAATATCCCCAAGGGTGGGGACTCCACCACCTCTCTGGGCAATTTGTACCAGTGCTCGGTCACCCTCACAGTGAAAAAGGGTTTCCTGATGTTCAGAGAGAACCTCCTGTGTGCCAGCTGGTGCCCATCGCCTCTGGTCCTGCCATGGGGCACCACCAAAAAGAGCCTGGCTGTGTCCTCTTTGCACCCTCCCTTCAGGTGTTTATGTACGTTGGTAAGGTCCTCCCCAAACCTTCTCTAGGATGAGCAGTCCCAGCTCTCTCAGCCTTTCCTCACAGGAGAGATGCTCCAGTCCCTTCATCATCTTGGTAGCCCTTTGCTGGACTCTCTCCAGTCTGTCCATGTCTCTCTCATACTGGGCAGCCCAGAACTGGACACAGTACCCCAGGTGTGGTCTCACCAGCGCTAAGCAGAGGGGAAGGATCCTCCCTCCCCGACCTGCTGGCAATACTTTGCCTAATGCAGCCCAGGATACCATTTGCCTTCTTCACTGCAAGGGCCCATCGCTGACTCATGTTCAACTTGGTGTCCACCAGGACCCCCAAGGCCTTTTCTGCAAAGCTGCTTTCCAGCTGGCCAGCCCCCAGCACATACTGGTGCCTGGGGTTATTCCCAGTCTTTGGGATGGGTGTCACAAAATGGGGCTTGAATCCCAGGGACTCCTAAGTTTAGACCATCCTCACCGGGAAGTGCAGGGGCCAGATACTTTGTGTGGCTTAGCTGCTGTGTCCTGTAAGATATAGGATAATGCAAAATATATTCAGGGAGAACTGCTGTGTTACTGTTCAAATGCATCTATCCCTCTCTGCAGTGAGCGCTGGCTTGCCACTATTGTCTGGGGTTTTTTGTTTTTGTTTTGTAATTATCTAGATGGTTTGCTCTGTTCTGAATTAGTGGCATGGCTAAAACCTCATCCTTAGCTGTTTACCTTTCAGCATGCTTTTTTTTTTGCCAATACACATAATTTATCTACTAATGGT